GCGTCTCCTGGGTTGTCGTCTTCCTCTGCCTCATCAAGGGCGTCAAGTCCTCAGGAAAGGTACCCGCGTGTTCGCCCTCCGGGCCCCGCCCCCTCGGTGTAGACACGCCCCCTCTAGGCATAGCCCCGCCCCTACTGGGAATGTCCCTCCCCTTGCAGATGTGGCCCCACCCCATCAGGGCACAGCCTCTCCCCTTTTAGGCATGGTCCCAGCCCTCTGCCCGTGCTCCGCCCACTCTGGGGAAGGCCATGCCCCTTCTTGGGCACAGCTCCTCCCATCCAGCCATGGCCCCGCCTTCCCTGGCCGTAGCCCCTCCCCCTGGTCCATGCTTTCTCCTCCTGGTCCATTGCTCCACACCCTGGGCCATAATCCCTGGTAGTCCCTCCCCCAGCCATAACCGCACACCCTGTCCCTGGCCACGCCCTCAGGTGGTGTACTTCACGGCCACCTTCCCCTACGTGGTGCTCACCATCCTCTTCGTGCGCGGCATCACGCTGGAGGGGGCCCTCACCGGCATCATGTACTACCTGACGCCCCAGTGGGACAAGATCCTCAATGCCAAGGTGAGCGGGGACGAGGGGTGGCGGGTGGCCAGGGAGGAGCGGGGCTGGGGGGCACAGCACTGACCACCCCACTGCCGCAGGTGTGGGGTGATGCGGCCTCGCAGATCTTCTACTCGCTGGGCTGTGCCTGGGGTGGGCTGATCACCATGGCCTCCTACAACAAATTCCACAACAACTGCTACCGGTGAGTGCCTGACCACGGCCCCCCAGTCCCCCTGCTACCCCCTGCTTCTGCCACCAGCCCTGACCCCTCTCCACAGCATCATCATCAGCATCACCAACTGCGCCACCAGTGTCTACGCCGGCTTCGTCATCTTCTCCATCCTGGGCTTCATGGCCAACCACCTGGGCGTGGACATCTCCAAGGTGGCCGACCACGGTCCCGGCCTGGCCTTCGTCGCCTACCCTGAGGCCCTCACCTTGCTCCCCATCTCACCCCTCTGGTCCATCCTCTTCTTCTTCATGCTCATCTTGCTGGGGCTGGGTACACAGGTCGGTCATGGTGGGGAGGCGTGGTGGGGCCAGCGTGCTGGGATGGGGTGGCATGGTGGGGCCAAGGTGGTGACATGCTTCGCCTTCTGCCCCACGTGCAGTTCTGCCTGCTGGAGACGCTGGTCACGGCCATCGTGGACGAGGTGGGCAACGAGTGGATCATCCGCAGAAAGACCTTTGTGACGCTGGGAGTGGCTGTGGCAGGCTTCCTGCTGGGCGTCCCGCTCACCACGCAGGTAGGTGACCATGGGACTGTGGTGACAGGGTGCTGTTGCTACGGTGACCTTGTCATGCTGACACCATCAGCCATGTCCACATTGTTGCCATCACCACCCTGGTGGTGACATCCAGGGCCTGGTGTTGCCATGCCAATGCTGGCAATGGTATCCAGCCTAAGCGTCGCCATGCTGACCCTGCCATTGGGCATTGCCATGCCGACTGCGGTGGTGGTATTCAGGCTGTGTGTTGTCACGTGGGCCCTGGCGGCACAGCGGTGCCATTGCCCTGCCGATGGCGATGGGACCGGGGCAGCCGTGCCAACGGGTCCCTCTCACAGGCGGGCATCTACTGGCTCCTGCTGATGGACAACTACGCCGCCAGCTTCTCCCTGGTCGTCATCTCCTGCATCATGTGCGTGGCCATCATGTACATCTACGGTAGGTGCAACCACCTACAGCCAATCGCCCGGCAGGGCTGCCCCAGCCAACCAGTGGGGAAGGGTGTGCACTAACTTCTGGCCAATCGGCGG